ATTAGATAAACTTTTAAAAAGAAAAGGTTGGGATTGAAAATTTTAAGCATAAAATTTCTTAAAATCAATCTCTTTATGTTGGTACTTTATGTCATGATTACGATTTAATTAGCACCGAACATAGGTGGCAACTAAATCTAATTAATGTGCTTTAAGTCCGCGAGGGAACCCATCAACTATTACATTACCTCAAAATCAAGTCTTGCCGACATAAAAGGTGCCTGCCCCACCAAGTTACGAAATTATGGTAGAAATAAGAGAGCTTCTGACTTTAATTTCATTTTCACAGTTGTTGGATTGAAATTTGGAAGATGTTACAAGCAAGCTTAAGTCTCTCTCTTGTTTCTAGGAACTACCTTGATTCAAGGCCTAGAGTTTGTTTTCCTAAATTAAACTTTAGAGTCCAACATTGAATGATTCATATTTAAATCTTATTAATCAATATTGGATTGTTTGAGGAGGGTAATAAAAATGCAACTTCTTATGCATGAAATTTATAATACAACATAAATTACTTGTCTTTAACTAGATGCAAGAGGCTGGACTTAGTGTGTAAGCAAAAGCTGGCCCATAATACCAAAAAGAAGAAGAAAAAAATCGTATTTGGACTCGTGTGTTGTTGCTGGTGAAGGATCAGCCTCTTCAGATTGAGACTTGAGAGTGGCCCTGTTTTGGGCCTTTTTGCATATTCAGCCTGGGCTCCACTGTCATATAAGCCCTGGTTGTACCAAAGTGTTCAGTCCATGATTTGAGCTTTTATCTATGTTTGTTAATCTTTGCTGGATCTGGCTCAGTAATCCTTTTTTATTGGGCCAAACCCACCTATTTTTTTATCAAATAATTAATAATTAATATTAAGAAAAAATGCATATTAATTCTGATTTTAAAAAATAATTGAAGTTCTAAACTTAAATTGCATCATTTTATTTAATTAAATCTCAATTCAAAATTTAAAAAAATTATCTTATTAAATGTTTATATTTATATTCAAAAACTGATTATATTAGTATATATAATGAGTTTTTAAATTTAGATATCAATATTTAATAAAATGAGATTTCATTTTTCAAATTTAAGTCAGAACTTCAATTGTTTTCTGGAGTCAAGACTAATTCACACTAATCTCTTAATATTATAAAAATTAAAATTTTTAACTTTAATCTTGAATTAAATCTTAAAATTAGTGAGTATCAATTCGTGAGTATCAATTCGAGCAAACTTTTGTTAGTGGGCCAAACCCATCTATACCGACCCTGAGAGCATCTTTTTGAGACAGTAAAATCAAAGGATGGAAGCAGAATAACAGATTCGAAGCTAATATGGAAATGAGTAAGATCTTAGAGGAAGAACAACTCTTGCATTATGGCGGTAGCAATGAACATGTACAGATCCAAACTTTTTACATATTGAGGAAGAAAATTTTAGGAGAGGGCAAACAATAAATTTTTTTTATTATTTAAGAATAAATTTGAAAGAGATAAAGTGTTTTTTTGTTTCAATTGATAACAATACAGTCCTAAAATGTGAATAAAAGGAAAAGTTAAACCACATCCAAAGCTTGTTATTGTTCAGATTAGCACTTTTTTTCTGGTTCAGACTAAAAAAGCTTCTCTCTCCATTATAAATAATCCTAATATTTTTAGCAAAAATTTCTGAAATTTTTCAAAAAATTGATAACAAAATTAAAGAAGTTTTTACAGAAATTCTTAAGTTTTCTATATTTAGATTTTATTTGATCATACTTGGCACAGATTTTTTTTTTATATAATATTTTATTTAAAAATATAAATTTATCCCTCTTAATTATTTTTATACAAGTGGACCTAAGAATAGACAATCAAAAGCAACATAGGGTTACAATCAAATAGAATGACATTTTCCTAAATCAAGATAACTTTAAAAAAAAAAAATTATTTTTTTATTGCTATTCTTTTACCTCTTAGGCAAGCGGAAACGTCCTTCCAAAAAGGTTTCAAAACAATTGCAGCAACACCATGGAAGACAGAGACCAACAGCAACCAACAAGCGAGGAACAAGGCACACTGCTTCCACACAAGTCCACCGTCCCATTTTTCTCCTACTTACTACCAATTCAGCACCACCACTACAACTAGCAGAAGCTTTATTAGCTGGCCCCATGCAACTCCTAAGGTGAGAAGATGGAGAATTTTAACTGTTCTTGTGGGGTTTTATAGGGATTTATTTTCTTGGACTATAGAGAATCTTAATGTATATATAAGAAAATGCCTGGAAAATGTACGTTATGTATCCTTTTAATTTATTAGTGTTAATCAAATGTGAATGGGAATGCACATGCCGTGGTATGTATATATAGGGGAAAAAAGTGAAATTAAAAAAGGAAGTGTACAGCCTTGTTGCTTGGCTAGGTTGATTTAAAAAATCATGATCAAGTTTATTATGATTCTAGGTTAGCTAATTCTAAAAATTGCATCTATTTGTAAGTAAATATTATAAATAAAACATTGTAAGGCAAGTTTTTGGTTTGAGTTTTATAGGTTAGCAGTTAACTTGAGTACACTAGATTTATGTGAAAAACGTAGGATACTGAAACAGTTAGCCATTTATTCTTCACCTGTGAGGCAACTTGGGTAGTTTGGCAAGCTTCTTAGGCGTGGTGGGGCCTGCAGGCTGTTCTTGCATGTGAAGGCTGGAATCATCTACAGCAACACGTGGGAATGCTGCAAAATGGAATCTTGAAGGAAGCATGGTATGTAATTTGGTTTTTAGTTATTTGCACCATATGATTGTGGAGGAACAAATTGATTTTCAAAGAAGGAAATGACAATTTAGCTACTGTGGTGGATTTAATAAAGTTACGTTCAGCCAAGCTAAATGAAGAAATGCCTAAAGATTTGTGGATTGAGAATCCCAGGGAAGCATGTAAAAGAACATAAACTATCTAGGAAAATTGTTTGGGTATGTTTTGAGTAGTGTAATTCATAACAATTTTTGTGATAATGTAATGGAATAGAGTACTTTTTTTACTTTTATTTCAATTTTAATAAATTTAATTTTACCGATAAAAAAAAAATTGCTTGAAAGATTAAGAAAGATTAGCCTCCAACTACACATACACTGCTTGAAAACAAATTAAAATAACAATATTAACGTTAGCCGGCCAATAATGAAGTAACATGGCAGCTAATTCATGTGAAATAATTTAACATTTTATGTTGGCCAACAAAAAGGTCTAACAGGACAAAGATAGGGCAGCTGAAGAAACTACCGAAGGAAATAATACTACTAATCTGTTAATAGTCTCATTATATAAGTTTAATGAACCTTTCCAACACCAAGTGGCACACTGGCCATATCTCTTTGATGGGAGGTGTTAAGATATAAAATCTTGAGTTTTACACCCAAACACTATTAATTTCTCCCACTTTAAAGATTCCCTTAAGTTAAAAAAAAAAAAAAAAAGTTTAATGCTCCTAATTCGCTACACAACCTTTATTTCCATCGATATTGTATATTAGTAGGAAAACTAGATTCTTTTACATTTGTCTAATGAACCTTCGGTTTAGTGCCATTTGCAAGTTTAGTCCAACTTGATGCTAGTTTTGTATATAATTTGTAATTTTTGTTTAATGATTGGTTTGTACCGTAAGTGTATGATCTTAAACCCATAAAAGATAAAAATGATAATTTCTCACCATTTGCTTGCTACCAAAGTGCCAAACAAAGGCAAGGGACAAAAAGCCCACTGGAGATGGTAGGATAAATTATTAAGAGTTTCATTTATTAATTTGGACTGTATATTGAAAATGTAATTTTAATACTGAAATTACTAAATTATCATTAATGAATAAACATAAAGAAGAGTTTTACTAAGGATATTTTAACAATTTCAATGTCAAAATTACATTTTTAATGTACAATCAGACTTAAAAAATAATCTTTTGAATTATTAATAACATGTTCAAATTAATATACAAAGTAGTAATGATTTGGGTGACTACATATAGGAGCAAACATGTTGTCAAGATAATTTGGAACAAATTAACTCCCAATATTCATTCTGCAGCTCATGCAGGGTAGAATGGTACTAATATTCGTAGGACTTATTTTTGTTTGAAATTAGATTTAGCCTAAGGTAATACCATATCTCGGCCTTGCATAGAGAGAGGCTTTAAGTCTTGAGCTCACAGACCACAAATGAAACTGCAAATTGGAAGAACGGAAAAAACTGGACAAATACTAGCAACAGACAAGATGTACAACAAACACATATATCAGAGCACATTACCATGAATCCAAATATGAGATACGGTCTGCAAAAGATGTAAACAAGGACCAAATCAAACAGATATTTTCAAACACATACCTAAACATTCCCACTCCTATAATCTCTCTCCGCATCTTACCATTTTTCATAGAGAAGGGTTCTTCACTCACATACCAGGTGGAAATATTAAAATATGCAAGCATCATAACATAGTAACTTTGTGTTTCATCTTACTCTCTTCACACGTGCTCCATCCCTTCCTCTTCCTCGTCCTCGTACTCACCTTCCTCATCAGCAGTAGCATCCTGGTATTGCTGATACTCTGACACGAGATCATTCATGTTGCTCTCAGCTTCTGTGAACTCCATTTCATCCATACCCTCACCGGTATACCAGTGCAAGAACGCTTTTCTCCTAAACATGGCAGTGAATTGTTCACTCACTCTCCTAAACATTTCCTGGATGGAGGTTGAGTTCCCAACAAAAGTGGATGCCATTGAGAGCCCTTTTGGTGGAATGTCACAGACACTGGATTTGACATTGTTTGGAATCCACTCCACAAAGTAGGAAGAGTTCTTGTTTTGGACATTGATCATTTGCTCATCCACTTCCTTGGTGCTCATCTTGCCCCTGAACATGGCTGAAGCAGTGAGGTAACGACCATGCCTTGGGTCTGCAGCACACATCATATTCTTTGCATCCCACATTTGCTGGGTCAGTTCTGGGACTGTCAGGGCACGGTACTGCTGGGATCCACGGGAGGTCAGAGGAGCAAACCCTACCATGAAAAAGTGGAGACGAGGGAATGGAATCAAGTTAACAGCAAGCTTCCGGAGATCAGAGTTGAGTTGACCAGGGAACCTCAGACAGCAAGTAACTCCACTCATAGTTGCAGAGATCAAGTGGTTCAAATCGCCAACTGCAGAATGAATTAAAAAATCAGAAGATGTATGACTGATAGATTAAAACTTGCAATCATGGCATTTGATCCAAATCGTAAGAAAAAATTATAGCATTTGACCTCACAGATAACGATGCAAATTCATAACAAATAATCATGTATATAACATGAATAAAAACTGAATTAAAACTGTTGCATTTCTATTGATAGGAAATGTCCAATCAAAACAAGTTCAATCAACATAGGCAGATAAACCAATCTAACCCTACACCAAGACTAGAAATTCTGTGAATCTAATCACACACAAACCAGAAATTTTGTGACTGGAAAGCATGGACAAAATGCCTTTGGCTATTTAAGAGAACTCATTATTTTTAAAATTTAAATATTGTACCATAGCTGACAAAAATAGGTGAAAGATCTAATAAGAACATTAGTTTGTTTACAATTTGTGATTCAATTACAACTTTGGTCACTGCAAGCAACTTGCAACCCAGCCAATCAAAAGGACATAATTGAAACCAAGTTTAAGATGTGTTTAAGTAAAACATAAAATGCAGCATTAAAACAAGCAGACTCTTCATGCTCACTTACAGCTTGGAGTGGTCAGCTTAAGAGTCCTGAAGCAGATATCGTATAAAGCCTCATTATCAAGCACCATGCACTCATCAGCATTCTCAACAAGCTGATGAACAGAAAGTGTGGCATTGTATGGCTCCACAACAGTATCTGACACCTTGGGTGAGGGGAAGACAGAGAATGTCAGCATCATCCTGTCAGGGTACTCCTCTCTAATTTTAGATATGAGCAAGGTACCCATCCCAGAGCCAGTTCCTCCACCCAATGAGTGGCAAACCTGGAAACCTGCATTGAATTCAATCAATTAAAGCTGTGCTATTTAACTCCCATAAAACACATTCCATTACTAGAATTAATTGGATCAGCAATTTCTTAATACATGGGATATCTGCAACAGATTCTTTCCAGAATATTGCCTTGAACAATTAGAAAGCAGATCTATTTAAGATCCATTAGTCATCATAACCACAGGAAAAGGACAGACAGAAGGACTAGATCCTCTTTCCCCTGACCTATTCCATAACTTAAAATAGGGTAACATTGTTGTATTGAGCATTAAGTTATATTAAAAGACAGGACCTACTCACTACTCAGTGTTGGTTTTTTTTTTTTTTTAATATTTAATCACTACTCAGTTGTTAAGACCAGAAAAGCAAGCGCAAGTCATTCTTTCTACACAAAAGACCACATCAGAGGAAAAAAGGAAACCCAAAGTTGAAGCATCATACCTTGCAGGCAATCACAGTTCTCAGCTTCCTTCCTCACAACATCAAGAACTGCATCAATGAGCTCTGCTCCTTCAGTGTAGTGACCCTTAGCCCAGTTATTTCCAGCACCAGACTGTCCAAAGACAAAGTTATCAGGCCTGAAGATCTGCCCATAAGGACCAGTCCTAACACTGTCCATAGTGCCAGGCTCCAAATCCATGAGCACTGCACGAGGAACAAACCTCCCACAAGAAGCCTCATTGTAGTAGACATTGACCCGCTCCAACTGCAGATCTGAGTTACCAGTGTACCTTCCTGTTGGATCTATGCCATGCTCATCGCACACAACCTCCCAAAACTTGGAACCAATCTGGTTACCGCACTGTCCACCTTGAACATGAAGGATCTCTCTCATTTTCCCTAAATTTAATTAAAAAAAAAAAAAGATACACAAAAAAAACAGAGACAAAACGATAAAACACAGAACAATAACACAAAAAAAAAAAAAGAAAAAACAAAAGGTAGAAAAAAAAAAAAAAAACTGAAATGAGCGCAAAGCTGTATCACATTACAAAGGCAAAGCCAGATTCTGGAATTTTATGATATATTCAAGAGATCCAAACACTAAAGTAAATAACTAAATCTAATCCAGAATCAACTAACAGGTTACACCAAACGAGATGGAACACAGAAAATTCAATTCAATTAAAAGCACAAACAGATTAAACCAAAGACAAACACCAAAAGTTGCAGAAAATTAAACTATAAATGAATGCGATCAAATTATACCATAAGGAAACAATTAAAATCGTAACACTATTCACCGACTGTAGCAACAGCCAAAATAAAACTACAAAATCTAGAATCAAAATAGATCTGGAAAATATTCTCTTAGAACAAACAAAATTAGCAACAATAACTCAATTTCAACATCAGATTTGAACGATCCACGCAGATTCGAAGAAAACTACCGCAAAACACAAGAACCGGTAGAAAATGCAGATCTGAAAGGAAATACGTCGATCGCAGAACACAAATGCAACAATTTTCTGATGCATATGTGCAGTGACATAAAAAAACAGAACAAAAATCATCAAAACTCTGAATCGAACACAAATTACGCAATGCAGAAGCTTAATTCGCAACAAAACTGAAGATCTTTAATCTTCAAGCAGCATAACTCAGAACAACACGAAGCTGCAACGTTCAAAGATGTACATAATCACACTTATCAGATCCAAAACTCAAGATCTAAAGAGAGGGTCAGAGAAATGAAGGAGGAGAAGAAGAGATCTAACCTTTGTTGGATTTGGAGGCGGGGCTTCCAAGGAGGATCGATGCTCAGAATGAAAGGAGGTGTGTGCGAGGATATGTTGGCTTTGAGGTGCCAATATATATGCAGGCTTCGGACCGACAGAGTGCAGGCTGATACTGATGCTGTAGCGAAGAGAGTGTACTTTGTTTCTAATTCCTCCCTCTGAGAATACTACAATACGGAGTAATAATAGAATAAAAGATGTGTTTTTTCTTTTATATTGTGGGAATACTTTTTATTTTTATTTATTTTATTTTTGAAAATAAAAAAATTGGGGGTAAAATAAATAATTAAATTTTAAAAATAATTAAAAATAATTAAAAATAAAAATAAAAATATAAAAATATAAAAAAATAACTATTGTAGTATTTATAAAATTTGAATAAAAAAATCTACTATTATAAGACTAGAAAAAAAAAAATACTGTATTTTATTTTATTTTATCATTACTAATATTATTGGTGATCAAAGATAATTTTTGCATAGTGGTTGGCCTGCCGTTAGATGGAGAGCACGAACGGTGAAGATGCGATTATACTGACACTGGTTGCTGAAATTTACCATGGGGGCGGGCTTTTTTGTTCTTTAAAAAATTGATGGAAAATTTATAGGACAATTATGCCCTTAAGATGGGAGAAGTTCCGGATTGTCCTTTGACTTGGACTTTATGTCTTTTGTACATTATTTTTTTTACCATTAACATTCTCAAAAAATTTTACTTTTGATCAATATTTTTTATAATTTAAAATTTATAAAAAAAATATAAAATTAATAATTAAATCCACTATTTACATTTTAATTTTATTGGTAATTTGGGGTTTGAAACATGTTTTAATTTTGGAGAGTATTGACTAGGACTAAACATTGTGCAGGGTTTTGATCATAAAAAAATGATGTGTAAAGTGTAAATGAGGGTTTTGATCCTTTTAAGTTTGTTAAAGAAAATTTTAAAAATTATTATTTTTTACTAATTTTTAAACAAAAAAGTATTTTATAGAGTAGATTATACAATAAAAGTATAGTTTGGTTTATGAATTTATTAAAATACATTTAATGAAATTATTTTTTATATCATTTCATTAAGGATATTTTAATAAATTTATAAGGTGGATTGCACTTTTAATGTATAATTCAAACTATAATACACAATTCCTATTTTTAAATGAATTTTAAAAAAATTACATATCATAGCTCTAAAAGGTAATTTCTTAAATTTTTCTCTAACCAAAATTTTAAATTGTAAAAGAAAATTTTAATTAAAGCAAGCTAATTACTTTTATAATATGTTTGAATTGAGAAAAATAGACGAGGAGGGAGGAGAGAAGAAAAAATTCTTTTATTTGGTTATAAAAAAATTGAAGGAGAAGAGAAAGGAGTCTTTTACTTTATTTTTTCTTTTAATTTATTTATTTATCCAAATAAGAAAAGGGGGAAGAAGGGAATGGAGGGGTGCTTTATTTTTTCATTTAATTTATTTATTTATCCAAATGAGAGGAGGGAAGAGGAGAGGGATGGAAGCATACAATTCCTCTCCCCTTAACCTATATGTATAGTTAAACTCAGCCTTAATCTCTCTAAAATATTTTTGTATAAAGAAAAGCTATTTTCATAGGAGCATTGATTGTTAGGACTAAAAGTTAAGACCAAAATTTGTGTAACGACCTAGGTTACTATTGTACTGTTCACTTCGACCCTTCGAACCTCATAGCTCTAAAACATATCAATGAGGGTTAATGAGTATTGATTTATATACTAGCATTTCTTTCGTACTTTATTGATGTGTGATTTGCCTAGAGATGTCACATACATCCCTTTCGAGACTCAATGTTCTCACAAAGGTTTACCTCACCACCGTTTAAGAGGTTAGCAAAGTGACTCTGATATCATATGTAATGACCTAACCTATTATTGATGTACTGTTTGTTTTAATTCATTTGGGTTTCATGATTTTAAAACGAGTCAATAAGAATCAACGAATATTAACATATATACACCTAACATCTCTTCTATGTTTTATCAATTTGAGTTTTAAAATATATTTTAAAACTGCAAGAGTCAATTTGTCAAAGTGAATAGTAATAATTACAATTTGAGTAAAAAATATTTTAACTATTGATGATGATATGTGGGTTGCACATTATCAATAAGTAAAAACTAAAGTATCGAAGAAGCATTCTACTTTTCAAAAAAAAAAACAAACAAACAAACAAAACAAAAAGTTCTTCCACTTGAAAGCGGAGTAGGAAAAGGAAAATGCTCCATGGGAGGACAATTGTCGGACGAAAATTGGGATGACTTTTTCATGGTAGAAAAATATCGAAGTAATAGAAGGTTTGCAGTGTCAAACAAAAGAATTGAACAAAAGGAAAAATTACTTTCAAGTGATAAACTTAAGGAAAACTATGTACTATAGAAAAATGAGATAGTGGAACATCTTTTTCCAACTTTTTCCCTATAAATATTAATTAGGAGTTTAGACCTTTAAAAATTACATGGTTTTTGTACACAAAAGCGTTTAAAAATTATACTAACAAGAGTTTAGTTGAATTAATATTTATTAATTTAAAATTTTTTATTTAAAATCAATGTTAAATATTTAAATATTTGTGTTACTAAGTAGTTAATTTTTTGTTGTAAAGAAAAAAGGAGTTTTTAAAAATTATGTGGCTATCTAAGAGATTATTTTGGCTTAATTTTATGATTTATGAAATTCAAAGTGAGTGAGATTCCTATATTTTTAGATTATGTGGTTTGAAAACTTTAAACTTTTAATTTTTAATTTTCAAAGGATAGTGATTGAAATACTATTTACAACATATTTATTAAAAAATTAATATCACACGATTTAGAATTAGAGGCAAAAAAACTTTAAAATGCAATTATTTATACAACATTGCTTTATTCTTGTTTTCAAATATATTGATTATAAGAACCAAAATCCAAACTTCTCCATCCTCATCCAAAAGGCTAACCTTGGCTTGCTTTAGGTAATTCCAAGCAAATTTTTCCCAAAATAGGGCTTTTGTTTTGAACTCCAAATCTAATGTTATAGGGATCCAAATAAAAAAGTGACCATCTATTTTGAAGATCCATGTCTTAGGAACCCTTAGTCTAAATTTCAACTCAATCCGATTGTGGATTCGTTGTTGTACATTTTCTTGAAATAGTGCACAAGAAGGAAAACATTGCCACTTCCTACATTTCTCTCCCTTTCTTTTCCGGTTATTCTACAAGTTTTTTGTTTACAAAAGCTTAAGAACAAAAATTAAGATATGGGTTTAGTTAGGAGAAGTCTCATTTTAATGTGGGTATACTTACTAGGAGGAAGAAAGATGAAGAGGAAGAAAATTTAGGATTGAGGAGGAAGAAGGTCCGAAATGATGAACTAATGAAGAATATAAATTAAGACATGAGTATTAACAGTATTGTGAGGCCACCATAAATGGACAAGGGTGTTCATGGAAGCAAGGTGCAAAATGCTGACGGTGGTAGTGGAATCTAGAATGCCAAAAAGGAGAAGGGTCAGAGGTCAAAGAGGTAGATAAAGGGTCTGGGTCATTGGGTTTTATAGGATAAATGAGGGAAATGAAAATCAAGGCTCTCTATCATATTTTAGTGGTTGAATCGAAGGTGTTTGGGCAAGTGTGTTGGTCTAAAAGATGAACAAATCATTTTCCATTTTCAAAAGTTTGGACTTAGAACTTGCAAGCATTATTTCTAAACATAATAATAATAGAGTGACAATAAGGTTTGTATCTAGTGTGGGGGTTTTCTTTTTCTTTTTTCTTTTGAATGTTTGATTATTGGTCTAATGTGATTAATTAAGGGAAAAATCATGACACTTTTGCGTCTCAAGTGAGAAACAATATAAATTTTGCTAATTATTGTTGCTTTTAAATTATTAATTGGCAATGACTAAAGTGGTTTATTGGAAACTTTTTTTTTTTTTTTTGGTTACATAATTAGAGATAGCTCTATTTTATCTTTTAATCCACTCCACTTACATATTATGTGGTTTGAACTTGAAACTTTTTTTATTTTCACTGAAAGAAGATATTATTAAGTTACTTAGGTCATTGATTTATTGAAATTTTTTTTTAAAATTTGAGTTGTACAATGAAAAGAAACTCTATTTCATTAATTAACATATCTTATTCGCATGTCATGTGACTCGAACTTAAAATTCTTTACTTCCATGAAAAAGACATTACCATTAAGATATTTAAGTCATTGATTGGTTTATTGAAAACCTAGATTTGGCTTGATTGCACAAAATAAGTATTTCATGGTTAAAACAAAATAATAAGGTAAATTACTTAGAAAAAATAAAAAATTGGAAATATGTTTTCTTTTCTTGCAATAATTTATATAAGCGAGTGATAATCCATAAAAAATAGCATATAGTGAAAAGATAGTTGGGTAAAATTACTTGTACTCTTAATCACAAATTTATGTTTTGATTTTTAGTTTTTATATAAAAAATAATAAAAACAGGAAATATGCAATACCAATTCCTCATACTCTCCCACTAATTTTACCCTTTGACAAAAAACAACCAAACTCACCCTTGGTGGTGTTCTAATATTATCATGATCCTCATTGTGGACACTAATCACTATATATGAAGGTCCATCTCCCCACTATCATATCACAATTTGCTCTCGACAATGAGGTTTTTGTTTTCTTATTTCTATGCCTCTTTTTTTTTTAGCAAGAACACAAATTTTATTTGTACATTAAATGATACCTCAAAGAAATCTACATGGTCCAAACTAAAACTTAGTTAATTTTATTTAATATATTAATTGATAGTTTATTTAATAAAAAATAA